GTGGACTGATGTTCCTATTTCAGGAGACTGCAGTCACATTACTGCTGAAACATGGATACTAAAATTAATTAAATGACAAGTAGAAAAAATGTGGAGATGTGCACTGACGTGACAATACGCCTTTAAATAACAGGAAGAGGTGCTAATGAGAGGCGTGGAGAATGCGCGTGTTTTATTTTGTTAACGATTCTCTTCAGATCACCGTTCCCACTGTCTGCACATTTAAGATAACATATTTTACTACTAATTTAAAACACATACTCGGTTACTGATGAATCCATAGCAATGACATGAATGATTGTAAATACTCTTTTTATTTTTCCTTTTACCAAAGGACAAAGCTGAGAAACAGGAAAATGAAAATAGCTGAGGCTGGGTGGGTGGCTCACACCTGTAATCCCAACACTCTGGGAGGCCGAGGCAAGTGGATTGCCTGAACTCAGGAGTTCGAGAGCAGCCTGCACCAGAGTGAGACCCTGGCTCTAAAAACAGCTGGGCATTGTGGTGGGCACCTGTAATCCCAGCTACTTGGGAGGCTGAGGCAGGAGGATCACTTGAGGCCAAGAGTTTAAGGTTGCTGTGAACTATGACTTCATGGTACTCTAATGAGGGTGACAAAGAGTCTGTCTCAAAACAAAAACAAAAACAAAAACAAAAAGAAAAAAGAAAAAAATGAAAGAGCTGGGTCTGAGCTCATGGCTAAGATTATCTTCTGATTTGTGTGAGTAAAATTCCATCTACTTAATATGTAGGGTTCTGTTACAATAAATGCTCCATTCACTTCAGTATTGCCATGTTTTAAACTGTTACACAACGGCTTTACTGTCTGGATTAAGTTAACAACTTGTATGAGTCTGGTTGAGCTAGGAAGCAAAAAGATACCAACATCTGATGATTTTGTTGTATGGCAGTAAGAATTTACATTAAGTGCGTAAGATTAGACTTTTTAATTTTCAAACTCCCCCCCCCACAACCTTTATAATCTACTTTTGTAAGGCAAATAGTGATTATACATTATCGGAAGAAAAAAACCAACCGTAGGTTAAAGAGCCCAAACCTGTATAATCTTCCAAACACTTTGTAGCTGAAGTAAAAGGAGGTTTAAGCATATTCATTGATGTGCCAGCAAGGAAATGAGGTCCCCACCCCCCACCGCAGGGTGCAGCCCGGACTCTGCTCACACGGGGGCTCTGCAAATGGTTTCAGCATCGTACACACGTTTGGATTCTGAGATCCCCCCCAGAACGCACTACCTCAGCTATCGTATGGCACCCTTAAAAACAGAAACTTCTCTAAGAATTTGCAGGGCCAAAAATACTCACGTTTTACATCTTTGCTGATTGATTTGGAAGACATCTATGTAGATGAGTGCTGACTTCTGAGCTCTGCCAGTTCTATCAACAGCTCCGCAGCAAAGCGACAGCCTCCTCCCGGCCCTCAGACTTGGCTTTAGAGTCACACATGCTATTCACTGTGAAGAGGTGTATGGAAGACTCTTTATTTTATACCCTGGATTATTCAAGTCAACAGCCAGCCCAGCTGAGTAGTTACTGTGGTTACCTTGCAATGCGGTCACACACGCAGGGAGCGAGGCCACAGTATTAACTGCAGTCCCACAGCCTGGAAGGGTGAAGCCTCGAGGACTAACATCAACTCGTTAAGGCAGTCAGAAGGAAAATGATATTCTTTTTTATTTTTTTGAGACAGTTTTACTATGTTGCCCTTTAGGTAGAGTGCTGCAGCGTCACAGCTCACAGCAACCTCCAGCTCTTGGGCTAAGTGATTCTCTTGCCTCAGCCTCCCAAGTAGCTGGGATTACAGTCGCCCGTCACAACACCCGGCTATATTTTTGTTGCAGTTGTCACTGTTGTTTAGCTGGCCGGACTCAAACCTGCCAGCTCCGGTGTATGTGGCTGGCACCCTAGCCACTGAGCTACAGGCGCGGAGCTGAAAATGATATTCTTACATTGGCTTTTAATTTAACTGTGCCTTGTTACTTTAAGCAAATTGTTGTGCTTTAAGTATCAGAGACAATGAAAGAGTGAGTTAAAGTCATCAAATGTGGGTAAGAGCTACAGAAGAAAGGTGGATATTAAAATTATAGGGAAGAGACAATGCAATGTAGTTATAAACACTGCTATAAAAATTTTCTTTGTAAGGAGATTTTTCTTTCTGGTAGCTTTAAAGCACAGAGTATACCATTGATCAGCTTCAGAGGTCAGCAAATTTTTCCTATCAAAGAGACAGTAAATAACGTGGGCTTTGGGGATGATAAATCCTGTCACATTACCCAATGCTGCTGTAGTACCAAGAAAAGAGGAATACAGATGTGTAAACAAATGAGTGTGGCTGTGTTCCAACAAAACAGGCCCTAGTTTGTCAATCGTTCCTCTATCCCACCCTGTCCAAAAGAAATGTAACGTAAGCCATATATGAGATTTAAAATTCTCTTGAAGCTACATTTAAAATAAAACCCAAGTGAAATTAATTTTAATAATATATTTTATTTAACCCAATATATCCAAAATATTTCAACATGTAATCAATATAAAAAAACTATTAATAAGATGCTTTACATTTCTTTTTGCGCTAAGTCTTTGTAACTGTTATGTACACTTAGAGCACATTAGCCCTATTTTAAGTGCTTGCCAACAGCCACAGGTGGCTACTACTGCTTACCAATTAGACCACTATGTTGCAGACCTTCCACGCTAGGTTTCCTACAACTTATTTGGAGTTTAGTGATACAGTTTTGAGATTTGGTTCTTGAAAGACAAGGTATATGATTAGGTTGCCCACGGGGAGCGTATGAGTAGAAGATTGGCCTCAGTCACTATCAACTGAAGTGGCTCAGTATTCTAGGGCAGAAACTGAGAACCAGATAAATGATATAATCAGATGATGTTAGCTTCATTTGCCAATGCAAAAAACTGAGGTCTAAAGATATTTGCTATAGACCCAAAATGCTCAAGGCGTGGACACATGACGTTGGTCTGTGGCCTTCACTAAACAAGGCTAAGTGTCATCAGCAGAACGAGTCTCCAGCACTTTGACTACATCACGACTGAATGCACAAGACACAAGCGCGTGATTCAAAAGAAAAAATGAACTGTGGAGCGAGGGAAAAAATCTTCAAAGTAGACAGAATTTTTGAAATGACTTAAAAAGCTAAATGCTTTTTCAATTCTGTTTGAGTAACACAGTTGCATCGTAGCCAACAACAGTTTAATTAGTTACCAAAGAGTAATCGTAAGCCTTAGTTTATGGGATGCGTTTGATCACTTAAATACAACTTTCTAGGTAAGAGAGTCAGCACTTGTAAGATAAGAATGAATATAACTTGTTAATAAAACTTAGAGGCAAGTTTTTTTTAACAAAAAATTTATTACCAAAATACAATATTAAAGTCCATACATGACAGACTCCTATAAAGCAAAATAAATTATTCTAACATTGTACAGTATTTCCAAAGGTAGTTAGAGAAGCACTATAGACCTTGCTTCACTGTTCTGAACAGATACCACTGCTCCTCCGGGAACGCGACCCCAGAGACTCAGCTTTAAGGCATGCAGCTCAGTGTGCAGGATGATGTCATAGAATGCAAATCATCCTGTTCTAGTAAGATACAGTGTCAGAATTAACCGTAGTCTTTTACATGTCAGTGTTCCAGAAATTCTCATACTTTGGCTATAGAAGCAATGCCATGGTGTTATACAATATGTATTTCTTAAAAAAATACCAGTATTCATGTCCATGAATATCAAACTCAAATTTCTATTAAATATATTTTATCGAATATTACTTAGAGCACCTTGCTGTACAATAAAAAGAGATTAAATAAGTGTCTATGAAAACTAAAAATACACTAAGTCGCAAAAGAGAAGCCTGCTTATCTCTGTCAAGGCAAGTACACTGTGGGGAGGTACAATGTAAACATGGATGCCCACCACTTGCTTTGTGAGAAAAAAACAGAGAAACGATTAGGAAGCCATCCACAGCTGCCTGACCGGGACGCCCGATCTAGAGCAAAGGCTTGAGGCCGGGCCGCTACACTGCACTGCCGGCCCGGGACTCAGTCTGCAGATGAAATGGAGGATCAGCACGGTCTTTTTGCAACACTGGGGATACCAATCATATTCTGGATTATCAGAGAAAGGGAGAAAATGATAAAACCCTGAAAAGTATTATGTATAATGACCAGAATGCATCATCTTCCCCCTTTCCCACCAGTGCCATACCCTTTAAGAACTATTTTTTACTATCAAATCTTAGAATTTTAAGTGTTCAGAGCAGAAAACAAAGAAGTGTGAGCTTTGTATGAAGAAAGGTCTGTGCCAATAAGTAAAACGTCATTCCTGTAAAGGGAGTTCCTACTGATTATTTTAACAGCTATCTCTCCTGCAATTATAATTGCACATTTAATCTTCATTATACCTTTTAGAAAACTCAATTTTTCTTGGTAGAGACACTGTTAACTTAAGGCTTGCCACAAACGACCATGCGAGGCTACAGAACATCCTTGAGACATGCCCTCTCCTGCCGGCCACGGGAAAGCTTTAGGGATATGCTAAGGCCAGAATCGGATGCAAGGAGAGGTTCCAAACTTCTGGGTTACTTGTCCCCTGTAAGTTGGGGAAATTTTAAATCCATGATTCCAAATGGAAAATTTAAGAAACAATAAGTGGTTTAAGGAAATGAAGACAGGTAATTTAAAAATTCACACTGCTGAAATTTAGGAGTTTTTCTGGTTATTACTATTTTCCAAATATTACATAAAATTAAAGCCAAGGAATGTTTATACAACAAAATTCTTAAGGTTGCTAATTTTATAAGGAAACAATGAGTCAGTTACCAGCAATGGAAAAACTGATTTATGAGTGGCAACAATATGATAATTTAATCAAACTATTTAGAATTTTTATTTGAATTTGAAACAAAAATATTTCAATTCTGAAAATAGGAGAGAATGAATATAAATCCACATGCAGCGGATTAGGGAATATAATTTAGTATCTATAAATTCATTTCATCTTTTTAAAAACCACATCAGAAACAGATTACTTTTGTAAACAATTAAAGGTAACTCAATAAAAAAAGCTGTGAAGTTACAATCACTTATGCTTGTTCAAATATCATCATCAACATGAGATTAAAAAAACAAATCAGACAATGTTTCAAAATGCCTGGCTCCACTTACGATAGTTCCTAACAGTAATAATTTTAAAAATATTAACTCATTGAATTCATCCTAGGACTTTGGGAACAAAATTCTTTCCTAAAACGTGCCTACATAGTGTCCCGTTCAAAAACTAAGTTCGTCAGAGTCACAGCCTCAATACTAGATGTTAGAATTGGTGTTCAGAGTGTCAGATACTCAGAACCAGCACCATGGAGATGGTGACCCACTGGCACACTGGCCTTTTGACTCATAGGCAGAATTTACTTTAGCAAAACAATGTGTGAGTGACCAGAACTACAAAAACAAGAACACCATTTTCTTCACTCTTTGAAATAATTTATAATACAAAATGTGTAATTAGTAGGGATATTACATCCATTTGGTGGCAGATTTTAACGTGAAAGCATTTTTAGTGGGTTTGTCCTAGCGCACCCTGACAGAATGGCATTTCCTAGGTGGAAGTCCTCTGGACTTGCCAAATGCTTCCTGTTATTAAAATTTCTATAAACAACCTGAATTTGAGTTTTTTCTAGATTTCAGTCATATTTGGTTATTCTTCTGCTAAATGTAATAATGTTAAAAACTGCAGGAAGGAAAATCACAGTTGCTGTCCTCCTCCTAAGGGGCTTCCGAACCTCACCCTCATCTCCCAACTGATTTTTGGAAATAGTTCAAACTCTTTTCAAAGCCTAGTGACAAATGGAAAATTTCATACTTTGTTGTTTTAACAGACACTTCCAGATAACAAGTGTGGTCTTGTTTAGCAAAGAGGATGAGAAGGTCAATATAAGCCTGGAGAAAGTGCCCGTGTTCTGACCAACACTTTGAAAAGAACCTTTCACAGTGTCCTGAGCTCAACCAGTTACCACTCTGTGAGCTTGAGGTCTGGTTTGAGTCTGATGGGACGTCCCCTAGTTCCTCATTTGAGCACAGGAAATTCACTGTAATTTAAGACAGAAATTTATTTCTTAAGTGTCTATTTACAATCCAGATTTGAATTTAGAAGTCTTCTTTGTTTTTTAAGGAGTAAAGGAAAAGATCTTAGATTGAGCGTATCATTCTTATCTCTTTAGGGACTAGGCAGAATGCTTCAAAGCCCGTTAGTTATCTGTTTCCTTGCTGACTGTGGTGACAACCTACCCTCACTAAAAAAGCTCTCTACCCTCTGAGAGCTGCCTCCCACTTCTCAGGGCAGGCCTGTCATTCTCGAGTTGACGTGTCAAAGGGACAAGAAAACTGAGCCGCTGGATGGTGACACTTCTGTAACAAGGTTTAGAATGGTTCCTGAAAAGCCCTTTCTTAAATCTTAGCTTGCATTTCTACACTACAAGGAGCTTTTGTTAATAAATACACTCGACATTAGGAAGAGGGGACAGAAAGGTAACACAGGATTACATCTTTGCTTCCTTCTTAATCCCCTTCCCCTCACTCAAAATATTTAAATATTACATTACTGCTTATCCAGTTGGAATTCCTTTGATCAGATTACAAGTTTGGTTCCAAAGTCATATCTCTCACTCCTCAGAAATCACACTAATTCTTTCTCCTGTGTCTGTTAGTTATCCGACTGTGGCTTAAAGGCCCCTCCTGCACGGCTGTCCTCCCCCAGCGGCCACCCTCTAGCTCGTGTCCAGAGCTGTGCCATGCTCCTTATTCAGGATGATGTTGACAATCTCACCCTCGTGCTCTTTCATATGATCTAGGAGATTTTCTTTGCTGGTTGATTCAAAACCACAGATGCAGCAGCAGAAGAGCAGGACGCAGTACTCCATCCCAGGAGGCGCCAGACTGGAGATTTTTTCTAAACTATATGAGGTATTATTTGTAGGGCTCAGTTTTTCATTCTCGTTGGGACCTACAGCTTCACTGGGAGTCTGGGAAATCAGTTCTGAAGATGACACCAAATTTTCTGAACTTGTGGTGATGGGATCAGCTTTCTCCTCACTGTTTAACAAAGTCTTTGCAGGAGATTTCCCTAGAACTCTGAAAACAAAACAAAACACCAAACTTTGAGTGGGATCAGGCAGGACAAGCAGATTTCATGCCAGCTTTAATTACATACTAAGTATAGCGACGGAAGGGGTAGGAGGGATACCTGCCGCTCCGTGAAATGGCGTCATTGATGGCCTTGTTCACCTGCTCGTAGTTGTAGTTCTGGTCACTCGCGTGTCTCCACATGTGGGACTTGAGGGAAGGAGGGTGGCTGCACACGTACCCACACAGAGAGCATCTGGAAGGCAGGCAGGCACGTGTCAGTCAGAACCGCCCAGATGCCGCCTAAAACATGATTCTAACAACTATTAAATTTCTTCTTCTAAAGCTTTATTGGACATGTCATGTCTCACTGAGTCTAGGAAGTCACTGATTGTAGGATACACATTCATTTCAGAGACGTCCTACAATCAATCAATGAAAGGAATTTTATAATTTGTAAGAATCTGTGAGAATCAAGACAAATATCTCAGATTATTTTAGCTATTAACAGTATTTGGAAAGATCTCTAATATGTGTATAATAATATAGAAAATCTCTTCGCTGTAAATTATTTAACCACAGATGCAAACAAAGACTTACAAAATTAATACTTTATGCCACTCTATTTCTTTTCTTTTTTTTCTTTCTTTTTTTTTTTTTTGAGACAGAGCCTCAAGCTGTCCCCCTGGGTAGAGTGCTGTGGCATCACAGCTCACAGCAACCTACAACTCCTGGGCTCAAGCGAGTCTCCTGCCTCAGCCTCCCAAGTAGCTGGGACCACAGGTGCCCGCCACAATGCCCGGCTATTTTTTGGTTGCAGCCATCATTGTTGTTTGGCGGCCCAGGCTGGATTCAAACCTGCCACCTTAGGTGCATGTGGCTGGCACCTTAGCTACTTGAGCCATGGGCACCGAGCCATGCCACTCTATTTCTTAAGAAAGCAAAAAGCATTAATGATTTTCAGCATAAACTTTGTACTTATTTATAGATTCACAGAAAACGGAAGTAGCAGTCTTAAAAAAGCTTCAACAATTCAGATTTCATAAATAAAACATAATAATCTTTAAAACATTTCTATTAAAAATAATTATTCCACATATTTGAGAATCTGAATTCAATAATGAAGTACTTTAAAAAAAATTCATAGAGCACTTTGAGGTTAACAGGAAAAATGGCCATGTGGTAAGTACAGAGTTCTCTCCCCCCACCCAGTGGCTCCTGTTAACATCTTGCAGATGAAGCAGCTATACTGATACATTATTATTAACTGAAGCCTGCAGCTTACCCATGGGTTCACAGCGCGTTCTGTATCATTCTGTGTTTTGACAAACCTATGATGTTGCGAATCTGCCGCTACAGTGTCACACTGCAGTCTCACTGCCCTGAAGTCCCCTGGGCCTCCCCTACTCATCCTTCCCTCCTGCCCTGAGTCCCTGACCAACCACTCATCTTTTTATTGGCTCCATGGCTTTGCCTTTTCAAGAGTGTTGTGTCACTGGGGTCACAGCAATATGCACTAAAGATTTTCCACGTCTTTGCATGGCTTCGTAATTCTTACCATTGAATACCACGATAATAATGGTATAGACATACCAGTTTTTTAATTCATTCACCTACTGAAAAGTGCTGCGTATCTTGGTTGCTTCCAGTTTTTGCCATTATGAATAAAAGAGAAATGAACATTCTCATGCAAGTTTTTCTGTGTGGATACAGATTTTCATCACTTGGGTAAATACCTAGGAGCATAACTGCTGGACTGGACTGTAACCCAATGTAGACTTCACAAAGACATTTCTGTTAAATACTTAACTCAAACCTAACAAATAAGATAACTCCCCTGAACTCTTCCCTACACATTTAGAAACATGGTCAGCAGGAAAGAGGCATGAAGAAAACCAAATGGCCTAAGAGTAAGTAACACAGTGACACTCTGGCAGGGACCGACTCTCACCCTCACTCACACCCCGTCTGACTTCATGGGAGCAGGCAGCAGTGTTCTTTATTACACATCCTGAGGAATCAGGTCCAAGGCCAAGGATCTCTGATCTCAAAGAATATTAGCCCACTTATGGCAATAAATAGACAATTTTTGGATAGAACTTGCAAGAAATTCAAATGTAGGAAAAGATGTTCAGTCTCACTGATAAAATACACCACTACTGTATCAGATTGGCAAAGATGAATAATTCTGTAAGACGTGGAATCTCGTAAGATCTTTTGCAAATGTAGAGAAGAGGAAACACACAAATTGTATGTGTGTATTAGGATCTTGAAGAGCATTAAGACTGAAGAGGCGTGTGGGGCACCCCCACAAACCCTGTCTTGGTGTTTACCCCAAGACACTCCTGTACGTGCTGGTCACAAGATGAACACTACAACCCACAACCCCTGTTTTCCCACAAGGATATGGAAATCAACTGGTTCATTTTCATATACTGGAATGTCACAAACCAGTCCCAATGAAGAAACTAGATTTATACTTATCATCACAAAGCAACTGTCAATAATGATCAGTGAAAAAGAAGAGTTACTGAAAAGACCTGTATAGGACACGATTTAAATGAACTGTTACGACATCAAACCCAGCAGTGTGTACCGCCTACGTCAGGTCTGCAGACACACCCACACACAGGTTCTACACACACGCACTTCACACACTGTGAATGGACCGGGAAGTTACTTAACAATGCCTGGAAACGCCACGGCAGCATAAAGAAGACAAGTTCCCTCTTCACAAGGAAGGGGTGAAACAGCACCAAGTAAGATTTTAGCTGTTATCTACAAAGTTTTTTCTTCAAAATTTAAAATTTTTGAAATGTTTCATTATTTGAATATTTGAAAACTGAGGCTATTCTTTTAAGATTTTATAGTTTGCTCTGTCTTTCTGAGACTTTACAGCTAGAACAATAAGACAAATAAAATCACATTTCACTCTTGGCTACACACACAAAAACCTAACTTTAATACATTTTATTTTGTCCATTTATATCTGAGATGCAGCAATTTTCTGACAAACCTCAACAAATTTATTTTCACTAACATCTTCATAAAAGGGCCAGCAATTGCGATTTTTCTCTGCTCCCCCAGCCGTTAGACTCAGGGCATCCCTCACTGCCCTGGTCACACAGCAGCATGCAGGGCAGCGAGGCCACGGCCCCATGTTCAGATGTCCCTCTGCCTGTCTGACAGTCCCATCTCTGACACCAGTGACAGCCAGTTGTCACGTCTCCTTCAGCTGTCACAGTCTCTCCTCTGCTTGGTTTTTAATGACCCTGAGAGAGTTGAGGAATACTGGTCAGGTATTTCCGAGGCAGTCTGACGTTGTCCTCATGTTAAGCTGGGTTATGGATTCCTGGGAGGAGCCACAGAGGGAAAGTGCCCCCCTCCTCTCAGCAAACTGTCACGTGGCCTATCACTGTGGGTGCTGACCTGGTCACCAGACTGAGCTCAGGCGTCTCTTCCACATCCCCTCTTCCTACACGTAGGGAGGATGTCCCTCTGCAGCTCACATGTGTCCTCACCTGCTGGACTTCTTTCAACTATTTACATATATTTGTATCAGTAAGGACACTTGGATAATTATATTATATTTTGGGATATAATTCAATGTTGCATTATTTATTTTGCTCAAGTCATTCCAACTTTGACCACGTGGGCCTCTCTGGTTGGCTCCTCTGTCTGTCCTGCTACACGCCCATTGTTTGTTTGTCTGTGGGGCAACTCCTTCCTCACTTGCTGGCACGAGATCCTCCACGACTGGCTCGGTGACCGCAGCTCAGTGGTTAAGGCGCCGGCCACATACACCAAGGCTGGCGGGTTCCAAACTGGCCTGGGCCAGCTAAACAACAATCACAACTGCAACAAAAAATAGGCGGGTGTTGTGGTGAGCACCTGTAGTCCTAGCTACTCGAGAGACTGAGGCAAGAGAATCACTTAAGCCCAGGAGTTGGAGGTTGCTGTAAGCTGTGATGTCACAGCACTTTACTGAGGATGACATTATGACTCTGTCTCAAAAAAAAAAAAAAAAAGATCCTCCACAATTATTCTAGGTATTCCCTACCCCCATCCCAAATTAGCTCAAGTGTTTCTCTAGTTCTTTCTTTTAATTGAAGAATTTTATCAAAAACCCAGATCTGGGTGATGGGTGAACTGCTTTAATTTTATAAATAACTCATTCCTGACTTTAAAAAGTTCATTGCAGAGGATTACAAATATACAGGAAAAAATTCAAAGAAAATAAAAATAACTTATGATGTTATCACTAGATAGAACCAATATTATCATTTTGGTATATACTTTCCAGTCTTTCAAAGTCTGTTTTATTAATATTCCCCAATATGATTTAAACTTTCTACAAAAAAAAATTTCATGGTTGCCTAGTAATCCATCATTGGATAAAACTGGTGGAATTCTACCTGAAAGGGAGGCAGTGGACCGGCAGAGATCTCACAGACCACCAAGGCTTATATGAAAGGTATTAAGGAGGAGAGGGAGAGGGGAGAGAGATGAGGACAGAGTGGAGAAGAGAAGAGAGGGAGGGAGAGCAGAGACGGGGGGGGGCGGGGGGCGGGGGGCGGGGAGAGAGAGAGAGACAGAGAGGAGAAACGTACCCTTATATAGGGAAGTCTAAGGATGGTGATGGGCTGGTGGGATAACCAATAAGGAGTTACTGCTCCAGTGGAAAGAGTCGTTCTAGGCGGCAGCAGGTAATTGGAACAGAGTGATGAGGTAAGTGGACCACTCCCTGTGCTTGGGGAGCAGTTGTAACTTTAAGGGCAGGAAGGGGCTTTCTGAGGCAATTATCTAACATTCCTCCCTTCTTGATATATAAAAAAATAGGGGGTTGGCCTTGGGATAGTGGATGTTTAGTTTTCTCTTCTGTAGTTTCTTCCTGCTGGGAGGGGCACGTAGTTTCAATTGGCCAACTACAGGAGGATTATGATTTTTCATTGGGAGGATGTAAGATTTTCTTTTTAGATTACCCTTTTAGTGGTGATTGTTTAGAAATGGTGTTTAGGAAGGTCTTGTGGCTTGGAGTAGAATATAGCTTATTCACGAAGAACAGTTTCTTTTTTTTGTAGGTTGTAAGATGTATCTGCGGTGTAGTTATCTGTTAAGACACCTTTTGAGAGTTTAGTTTGAATAAAACGAGTTCTGTATGGAGTAATAGTTACTAGTTTAAGGATGATAACTATAAGTGTGAAGAAAGATAGAAGGGTAGAGTGGGTTTTGAGTTAATTAAGAGAAGTTTGATGA